TGATGGAGGGCTGTGGAATGGATGTCTCCCAAGTGCAAAACATTGGATGGATTTATAGGCACTTGGAGTGTTAGAGGTTGAGCCAAAGGTGGAGTTGGTGATGGATGATGGTGTCACGGTGATGTCTCCCCTTGACCTTCTGTTTCTCAACAGGATACACCGCTGGAACTCCCTACAAGGTCCCGCCTACCCAGAGTAACAGTGCGCCTCCCCCGTATTCACCCTCTCCAAATCCATACCAAACGGCGATGTACCCCATCCGAAGTGCCTACCCGCAGCAGAACCTGTATGCCCAGGTATGGGGAGCCCTGTCTTCTTTTTTCGTTCTATTTCCAGAGGCAGTTTCCCATCTTGACACCCACACAAAACTCCCTACAAGGTCCCGCCTACCCAGAGTAACAGTGCGCCTCCCCCGTATTCACCCTCTCCAAATCCATACCAAACGGCGATGTACCCCATCCGAAGTGCCTACCCGCAGCAGAACCTGTATGCCCAGGTATGGGGAGCCCTGTCTTCTTTTTTCGTTCTATTTCCAGAGGCAGTTTCCCATCTTGACACCCACACAAGACACTCAGAACCAAGGAGCAGGCATGAGGCCATGAAAATGTCAGTGGGCAGGAGGAAAGAACAGGAACCGAACCACCCTCCGAAAGCAGGAGTGCTTGCAAAGTGTCTCCCGCTCCTGGCAGACAATAACAAACGTTGAAACAGAATTGAAATGGCAAAAAAACCATCATGTTTGGTGGCGTGGCTGAAACCAAACCAAGGCATGCTTTGAGCAAAAAACGGGTCCTGTCGTGGAGGAGGTTCTTGCCCCATCCCGCACGGAAAGTGCCTCACCTCCTCCCTCCACACAGAAGGAACCGAGAGCAGCTCCTGCGAAGATCTCAGTAACGGGGGTAGATGTTGTATCTGGCCAACAGATCTCAGGAGCTCTGCCTGCATCACTGTGATCTTGCCCACCTCAACGTAGTTACATTTCCTAGCTCACCAGCGAGCTTTCAGCACACAGCTTGCCCCATCCCGCACGGAAAGTGCCTCACCTCCTCCCTCCACACAGAAGGAACCGAGAGCAGCTCCTGCGAAGATCTCAGTCGCGGGGGTAGATGTCGTATCTGGCCAACAGCTGGATCTCAGGAGCTCTGCCCGCGTCACTGTGATCTTGCCCGCCTCAACGTAGTTGCATTTCTTAGCTCACCAGCGAGCTTTCAGCACACAGCAAGTACTCAAAATGGGTGCAGGCAAGAGGTGGGGGAGGCCGGGGCCCAGTTTTGCTCACAAGGAACCCCTGTGAGCTGCATCCTCTTCCCCAAGACCCCCATTAAGTCAAGACCCTTCTCTTTTGCTTTGGAGGAGAATCTTCTGAGCCTTTGTGGCTGAAGAGATAATGTGGTTCTACCTCTGTGCCCCGTCCAGATTTGAAAGGCAAGGTGCATTTAAAATGATCAGGGAGCAAGGCTCAGAGCACTGAAGAACTTGTGTGCTTAGCTATCCACATAAGTAGATCTAATAAAACCGTGATTATCTAGGTAACAGATTAAAAACAGCTGTTCCATATTTGTCTGTGAGCCTCTCCTCCATATATTTATGTATTTATTTAAAAATGCATACTGTAGTCTGCTTCTGCCCCAAGAGGCTAAGAAGCCTAGTAACAACGCACCAACTTATGCAACTGGCATGTGACGAAGGACACAAACTAGTGGCAATGATCCACTGCAGTTCACATCACTGCTCTTGTGGCAGCAGAGATAACCAATAGGATTCTGGCCACTGGAAGAAACAGTAATGCTAGAAAAGGGGTTGGGGAGTAGGAAAAGAAGGCGACTTCCCTTTAGATGGATTGCGTAAATGAAGGAAGCCACATCTTAATGATAAGGTTTTGTAGAGGCCATGAATCCATAGGGCTACTATTAAGTTGAAAGCCACTGGATGCATCATAATATACACACATCTGGCCATGAGTCTTTGAATTTGGATTATACATTCTGAAAAATATTCTGAGTTCTCTGAAGAGGTGTACTTCCCCGGCTGTTGCCGTATTCAACAGAATCAAGACATTCCAAATTTGTCTGCCTCTTTTCTTTCCAGAATGCAGGACAAACGTGTCTGGAATCCAAATGAAAATCTACACCAGCCTCAATCCATCAGCATACATTTCAGCTGTGAATTGTTACCAGTTAAGAAGTCAGTATAGGCAATTGCTGTCATATGTCATGACGCATGACTAGTGTGCAATAACAAATGCCTATGCCAGCTTCTTAATTTGCGGTCATTCACAGCTTTACATGAGATGTACATTGATGGATTTAGGCTGATGGGTCTAAAGAATAGAATCCTAGTGGTTGCTTTGTTATATCTGGGGAGCAGAGGGAGGGAGGGAGAGAATGCAGCTGTCTTTGAAATTTTCCCCTGTGCAAGTATAAGCTCTGAGCTGAGTTATTTTCGCACTTATTAACCTCAGTAAAGCTGATTGGCAGTGGTCAAAATGTCTATGCCGAATAAGAAAGAACAGAAAGACAGGACCTTGCAGCAGCTGAAACACGGAGAAGTGCACTACCTAACTAACTTGGAACACGGGTTCTGGGCACCATTCAAAGCGCTGGTTCTAACCTATCAAGCCCTAAATGGCTTGGGGACCAAGCTGTCTCAAGGATTGCATCTCCCTTTATGAGCCTGCCCAGGGGTTAAGATCCTCAAGGGGAGGCCTTTCTGTCGGTCCCGCCACCTTCACAGGTGCGTCTGGTGGGACGAACTATGGATCAAAACTATGTCTCCAGAGGAGAGTTTTTCAAGACACTGGTCATGCTGGCATGAGGGACTCTGGGCTTACCACCTTCACAGGTGCGTCTGATGGGGACACCGGAGAGGGGCCTTCTCTGTGGCTGTTCCCAGAGCTGTGGAACTCCCTCCCACTGGAGGCCAGCCTGGCCCCATCTTGGCTGTCCTTCCACAAGCAGACAAAGATCAAGCAGGGCTTGCCTTAATGATTGGGGTTTTTAAATGGATGGTTGTGCCCTTACTGCTTTGAGTGCACTTTGGTGTTGCTTTTGTTTACTGTCCTTTAATGTGGTATCTGTTTGATTCTTTTAAATATCTGTATACTTACTGTTTTTAGCTTTCAATATTGTCTTTTAAAGATGTAAGCCACCTTGGATCCTTTTTAAGGAGAAAGGCGGGGTAAAAAAATATTTTTAAGTGAGTCCGTGTGCGCATGCAGATCAATACTATCCTTGCCGAACTTCCCAAAGATGTCTCCACTGACCTGTGGCTCTTTCTCTCTTCCCACGGCCTTTGCGTACAGGGAGCATATTACACGCAGCCGGTATATGCAGCACAACCCCATGTTATCCATCACACCACCGTGGTCCAGCCAAACAGTATCCCGTCTGCTCTTTACCCAGCTCCCGTGGCCGCCCCGAGGACCAACGGCGTGGCCATGGGAATGGTCGCTGGGACCACCATGGCAATGTCAGCAGGTAAGAGTTCGATCACAAGAGCCTTTGCTGTTTCACACATCAGCCTCCCCCAACCCAGCACCCTGCAGATGGATCGGGCTGCAATACCCATCGTCCCCACCCAACATGGCCTGGCAGGGGCACTCACTTGGGGACGGCTCCCATAGAACCTGCCGTCTGGAATGGCTTGGCTTCATCTGAAAGGCCTAAACCCATTGGAGCAGCTGCTTGTTCCTAAACATTGTGCCTGCACCCCCTGAGATTTTCTTTCCTGGCAGATCTGATAGTGTACAAGGAAGCCTGGGGGCCGTGCCAGCTGAGCTCTCTAAAACTGGAGTGGGGCAGCCAAAGAACCGAGGGCGAAACCTCAGTTATCTAGAGCAGTTGTGTGTCTTTTCATGCCTGTCTCAAAGAGAATAAATTCTACAGAAGAGTACTTGCTTAGAACACTGCTTCCCAACCTTGGGTCCCCAGATTTTCTTGGACTAAAACTCCCAGGAGCCTTTCACCACTAGCTGTGCCGGCCAGGATTTCTGGGAGCTGTAGTCCAAGTACGTCTGGGGACCCCAGGTTGGGAACTACTAGCTTAGAAGGACCACTTGCCTGTGTGAAGCACTTCAGCATCCATCTTGCAGCTGTTCTTCCCCTTTTTCTCTGGAAGTTTGGAACCTGGACACTGGTGCCAGCTGCTAAGAGCCACATGAAGACCCGGCCATGGCACGCATCTGGCTGCATAACTCCATCATTGCTATATTTTCATATGGTAGTTTGGAGTCAGTCCTGGACAAAAAAAGTCAGGGGCAAATATAGTGAAATGCAATCACCCTTGAAAAGCAGGGGAACAAACACAGAAAATTAGGCAAGCTAACTCACCTCGTTGCAAAATGATTCGAGTGGCGCGACTCTGCTTTTCTGGGTGCAGAATTTGGCTCGCTTGGGTACAAAGACATGTACGTACTACACAGCCTGGTTTGTTAGTAATTGTTCATAGAACACCCTCTGCCCACCTGCTGCTAGACCCTCTTATTGCAGTTTGAGGCCTTGGGTGGGCCAGTCATGAACCGCTAGTGTCCCCTTTGTGTTCTGCCCAGTTTTCTTGCCCGTGTCACTCTCTACTTGTTCTAGGAATTCCTCCACACAAGGAGAGTCACATGGAAGTGTTTGCTATAGAGGTGCGCAGATATGTGTTCTGGGACGTCACACCCCAGAATTTGGGGAATTACCATCCAATACCATAAATTTCTATGCCTTTAGGTTCATTCACTCACAACGCAAGGGTCGTTTTCCTGGTAGCATCATCATCTGCTATCCTCTGTTTCCCTTCTGCTGTCTGTTTCCAAACCCGGGGTCTTTTTTCTAAAAGTAGTAGAGTCTTCACAAAGGCAAATGCCTATTGTTCTTCTGTTCTGTCTCTTTTAAAGAGCAGGATGTTGGCCTGGTAGTGATTCATCAGTCACAGCTCAGCAGATATTTGTTAGAATCTTTTTAGCAGGTACATTTTATGATTTTTTGTGTGTGTGCTTTTAACTCGTCTTTTAATGATTTCTGAAGTGCTTCCTAGATGGATTTTTTTTTAAGGATCGAAAAAGAGGTATAAAGCTGTACAGTTAATTTATTTTTTTCCAAAAAATCCCTGAATACTTGATTTATTGCCATGGCTCCAAAAGGCAGTGATCAGAAAGTTTTAAAATCCTTTTTATTATCGTGCTTTATGATTACAACACTAGAACAGCACAATTCAGAGATTAACTTGGTAGCATGATAGCGTTACAGTAGGATGCCCTTTTCATTAAAAGAAAAAGAAAAAAAACAAGCTGGAAAAGTGTGTTAGCGAAAGTTAAAGGAGGATTTTATCAAACAAAAATAATAAAATGGACTCTACTGCAAAGGTATTAATGAATGCATGGGTTGGCTGCTGTGCCATGTGCACTCATGTGGACCGGACATTGTGTGTGTGTCACTGAACCCCACAGTACTCCTGACAGCGCTGGAAGGCGGTTGCAGGGCTTGTCCATCGGCCAGAAGGCACCGCCTGTAGCCAAGGGGGTAAGGGTAGATGCACACACACACACACCTTTCCCCGAGATCTCTTTCCAGGTAGCAACCTTTCGGCGCTGCAAAAAGCACCCCAGAAGCAATCCTGTCTTCTGCTGACAAGAGAACAAGCCAGGATTATAATCCCACATCAGGTTTTCCCAGCTGTCAGAAAGAACGGGCCACAGATCCACGGCTTCTGTCAAACTGGGAAATAATAAGTCACCTTTTTTTAGTTATGAATTAGAGATGGCACAACCCCAGAAAAACAGTGAACAGGGCTGGTTTGTGCCGGTGCAGATGCAGCTCGGGACATAAACACACACATACACAGTCGGGGTGATAGAGGGTGCAGCTTTCGGTGTCTTCATCACCCCGCCCCCATCCTCCTGACTCTTTCTTCCTCTTCCAGGCACCCTGCTGACCACTCCTCAACACACTGCCATTGGGGCACACCCTGTCTCGGTGCCAACGTACAGGGCTCAAGGGACCCCTGCCTACAGCTATGTACCTCCACACTGGTAACCACACTGGCCAAACCACGTAAGTGGCAACCACGCGGTCTCTGCAGGGCGAGGGAGGTGGGTAGAGGGGGCGCCGCACTCCCCAGTCTCCCGTTGGCAGATCAGCCTCAGTCTAGTCTCTGGAACGGCACATTTGGGAAGGGTAGGCACAGGGCGGCTTCTCAAAATGAAAGTGAGACAGAAAGGCCGGGTGCAATGCTCAGTCTTGAATCAAGGAATAAAGGAATCAAAAGAAAACGTAGCGCACATTACATGAGAAGTGCATGCGTGTACATGCAGATCAGAGAAATAGTTTTCCTTCCAATTTAGGCCAGAGCTTGGAAACATCATCATCATCATCATTGTCATTGTCGTCATCATCATCATCATCATCATCATCATCATCATCATCATTATTATTGGCATTAGTAGTAGTAGTATTGTTAGTTTTAGTATTAGTATTAGTATTATCATCATCATTATCACCATTATAATTATCGTCGTTGTCGTCGTCATTATTATTATTATTATTATTATTATTATTATTATTATTATTATTATTATTATTATTATTATTGACTTTTTGCCTCTCAGAAACCATCATGTTATGTGCCATCGCCTCTCTTTCTTACTTGGGAACACCCTCTGAATTATTCTGTGGGCCTTTTTGTAATCAGAGACAACGAATACCCCAATAAGGAAGAAGTTTTAGCAATCCTGATCAAGAGAGAGTAGAGCAGAAAGCATGAACAGTAAAGCATCAAGGTTAATAGGATCAGCTTCCTGCTCCTTCTGCTTGCCAGGAGCCCCTAGAGGGTGACAAGCAAGTGACCCCTGAAACCTGTAGATACGCAGCACATCTTCTCCTTTTGTGACGCCTTCTTCTGCCTCCCAGGGAGGTATTTTGAGATGGATTTGCCCTAGAAAGAGGCCGAGTAACCACCAATCCCAAATCTAGCTCTTGTTTCAGCTTTTCTGGAACCATCACATCCCACGCTGCCAGCTGCCAAAGAGCCCAGCTTGCTCTGGCTTTTCCACGACCCTGCTTACCTTCCATGGAAAGCCGGCCACTTTTCTTATTACAGAGAGGCAGGAGAATCGTGCATGTATGTGAATAAATCGTGCATGTATGTTGGGTCCATTTCAGCTTCAGACACTGTAATGGGACTGAAATAGCCCCGAGAAGGAAAGACAGGAGTGTCTCTACATTGTCCCCACTAGCTCTGCTTTTAGTTTTCAGCGCTCTCGGTTGTGGGTGTCAGACTGTCTTCAGCTGTCTGAAAAACTGGACTCAGTTGGCATCTGGATCCACCCACCCACAGGCAGAAATCCCGCGGGGGACCGGGTACATATGTATGAATTTGTCCTTTGGGTTAATGTCTTAATTGCTTCAGTTTTTATGAGAGTTGGTCCTAGAGCACATTCGACACCAGGCTCAAAACCCATGAAGATTTAAAACGGCATGCCTGCCGAGGAGTTCACAGGCTTAGCGGGAGGGTCGGGGGGAACCCAAGCCCCCCCTGAAAAAATGGGGGCCCAGATGAAGGTGTTGAAGAATGAACTCCGTTATGCAGTGGAGCTTGAGTGGAAAATGGGAAGATCTGTTTCTCTGTTGTTGTTGCTTCTGTTTCTAACTCCCCTTCGAACTCCCCTCTTCTCCTCTCTTTCAGATCTGGAGTCAGAACATTGTATGCAACAATTCACGTCTTACATGGATGCCGGAGCAGCTGCCCCAAGGCGCCCTGTCTGAGAGCAAGAACAAAACAAAACCAAGCAGAAGTGCAAGGGTCACTTTATGCATTCTTTAGGGTTTAATTTAAAAACAACAAAAAACTGGTTTTAGTTTATTTGTAAAAGCTTCCTTCCCTGCCATCACCTGCGGTTTCCTGCCCTCCTTTCATTTTTCTCTCCTTGCTCCTCCACCCAAATAGTTTCGTGCCATCCACTGACGCCGAGCAATATTCCCCCCGCCCGCCCCCCGTTCCTACTTCCCTTCCTTCCCCGCCAACGTCTGCATACTATTCACTCGGAAAGCTCCCCCAGTTCATGGCTTCAGGTGTCTCTTGGTGTTGTGCATTTCAGAGTCCGTTCCGGTTTCACTGGCGAGAATTATTGATGTTCAGGGTTGCAGAGCGGAAAAGCACCGTTCTGACAGGTGTGATTCTTCCCATTTCAGTTTTATTAACGCCATTCTAACTGTCTCTTTCTCTTCTATGTGTTTCATCTCCCATAACCTGAAATGAGAAAATTGGTGTCTTCCAGATAGGTGTTGGAATTAGATTTACAATTCATTATCTGTGGGGGGGTAAAGCGTGGCTCTTATCCCTTCTTTTACAGGAGTAGGTGAAAGGAAGAATAACATTTAGCGCCCCCTTGTGTCGTAGGAAGCAGGACAGCAGCTGGTCAACCAGATCCGTTAACCCCGTACATTTATTTTTAAATGACAGGCTCCCCTCTTCTGTCTTCCTCCCCTGCCACACAAGGATAGGAAAAGCTGAGGGGTAGGGTGGATGCTAGTAGAGGTCAAATGAATAGGAGCATATCGTTAATTTTATAGGAATTTAAGTGTGTCCCTGGCTCAGACAGCAGTGGTGTGCAATTTGATCAGGCAAGTTCAGGAAAGCTTGTGAGCCCAGCGAGGCTGCCATGAAAATGGAAGATTTTCCCAAACGTCAGGCTTTGGCAGTTGCTTTCGCGGAGTGCCAGGAAGAGAGGGTTCAATAGCCAGTGGCCTGGGATGGCTAATGTTGGTTTCATGATCAGCCCATTCCACCAAGCTGAATGAAATCAACCTTTATCTAAAGGTAAAAGAAGTTCCTTCCAGGAAGCTGGTCCTGCCTGGTACAGCCCCAAGCTTTGCCCTCTCTTTGCTGCCTTCTTGCCCAATCGCTTCTCTCCGTAGCAGACGTCTTGCTGATTTACAGAAAAGCCACATTTCCTGACATGGAAGTTCAGCTGTGTGAAGTGGCTGAAAGGTCTGGAGAACCTCCTGTGGATTTGGGCACAGTGTGTGCCTCTTTCTTTTTAGAAAGCCCCCCCCCCCAAGCAGATGCAGTTTTCTTTTGAGTTGCATGAGTGTTAAATGCCACTGCTGACGGATTGAAGACGGAGGGCCTGCTGGTTTTAATTTTCTCATCTCTGAAATGCCGTGTGCTGAAATCCCATACACTAGAGTTGGAAAGGGACCTCAAGGATCATGTACATAGTTCAGCGTCCTGCCATTGCGGGTGCCACAGACCAAGGGTCATTCCCAGGGTTGTAGGACCGGTGTTCTTTTGCCTACATCCAAGGGCCGGGGTCTTCTTTGACCTCTCCCCCGGCCTCCTTCTTTGTCTCTAAGAGCGCAAAAACTGTGGAAGGCAGGCCATTCAGCATTTCCGTGGGATTTTCATTTGGACACCTGTACACTATATGATTGGTGTCATTGGTGCTTTGAGGTCTTCTTCTGATGGTGATGGTGAGCGGTCCATACTTAGGAACGCCCGGCAAGCTTCGCCATGAATCAGAATCAGCTGGACAACCTACAGTTATTATTACTGTTGTTATTAAGACAAAGCAAGCAGGGTGTTGAGCAACATAGAAGTTCCTGTGGGGCAACATAGAAGTTCCTGTGGGATTGGATTTGGGATGATGGAAAGAAATTCCTAGAGAAGTCCTGATTGGGAAGAACCACTGCTTTGCTCCATTTGTTCCTGGGATGCTGTTGGTAAAGTGTTGTTATCGGTGGAGTTTGCTGTTTGATGGCTCCTGGTCAAAGATCCACTTGGGAGTGCTTTCCTCTAGTCAGGAGCTCCTTTGCGACACGCTAGGAAGTTTTTGGCCAGATGAAAGAGAAAAGGCAGAACTGCTAGAAGGAGTGGCGAGATGGAGTGGAAGTGGTAGCCTCTGGTACTTTTCTAGCCTTTTACATTGAGAGATTGCTACCTGGCCTGTTTGCAACCAGCCATGGTTAGGTCTGGTAGAGTCAGCATGCTGCCTTCCGACTCCATTGGGTGATGTTGAGGAACAGACCCCAGCTGTTTTACAGGCTTGTAGGTAGCTAGAAGTAGACGAGGCAGCCTGGGGATAGAGGCTGTCATTTGGTGAAAGAGCCCATCACATCCCAGTAGCACAGATGCAGGGTGGATGTGCTCCTGCACGTGCCAGGAAGTGAAAGGCAGGGAGGTAAGCAAGGAAGCGGACTTAGATGCACAAGCGACAGCATGCTGTGGCGTGGGGAGCCAGCCAGCTTTAGATCATGTTGACTCTAGTCATTGTGGCTCTTTAGTTGAATACGTAGGCCCAGGGAATTGCACACACTTTGGGATGACTGGTGAAAACTGTTATGATCCTTGTTCGGAAAACCAGCACAGGGGAAATGAGCCCCTGTTCTGGAAAAAAATTATTATTATTTTGGTTAGCTCATTCTTGCCCCGTAATCCCGCCCTTGCCATTCCTATTTCCACAGAAGGGCCATATCAATGCAGGAAGATGGATTCGTAAGGATAGAAGGCAACCCTCTCTCTGGTTGTGGCCAACCACGGGAGCAACGTGTGCAGGCCCTTTTTGTGTACAGAACCGGCAGCCCGGTGGTGCTCAGTAAAACTGGCTCTTGCCCTTATTGGCCCCAATAGCTATAAGGCTGAGAAGCCATGATTTGGCAGGCTTTATGGTCCAGTTGGAGGAGGACCCCAACCTCCCTGCTCTTGACAGGTGGTGCCTCCCAAGAATGGTGGCCACGAAGCCTTTCCTGAAGGCTGCTCCTTGGGACAGGCCAACCTGCACAAGGCCCAGGGGACCTCCTAAATTCTGCCTCTTCTGGGGATTCCACGGCGCACTCCTTCTGCGGAGGCTGTTTACGAAGGGAACAGGCCTTCGTGGTTCACTGATGTTGGGCGTCCTCTTGAGTTTCTCACCCTTCTGGCAGTTCCCACTCACCCCGTCCACCCGCGGAAGTGGCTCGGCAGGAATTGAGGAAGGCAGCTTGTTGTAATTGGGATCCAATGTTGAATAATACAAGTAATCTTCGGAGCTCTGATTGTACATAGGTGTATATATAGTTCTACATTTGACTGGAAAGCAGTTGTGGGGGGAAAAGAGGGAGAGGGAAGGATGGAAAGGAACCTGGAGAAGGATTGAGGGGCTGCAGTTTGTCACAGGCCACGGACCCGTCGGAGGGCGTTTGAGGTCTGGCCAGATAACAGAAAAGATGGGACTGTGTTACCACCTTGGGATGATCCCCTTGTGCTGCTTCCCTCGGGCGTTGTATCATCTTCAATATTTTTCTCATTTCAAAAATCCTTCATTGTTTACATAGGTTCATGTTCCTTCTCCCCTCCACACCCCATAATGAATTCTGAAATAGAGAAAACATTGTGATACACCCCACACTGATACTGTGACACCCCCCCTCCCCAGATATCCTCACTTTAAAACATAGGCTGTAAAGCTAGACTTGGGGTAGTAAAAACAGAATCATGTCAGTGAAAGAATGCATATTAATCACTGTATTGGCCCAAACCTATGCCGTGAAGAACCTCGGAGGTGCCTCCCAGCCATGACTCCAGGAAAACTGAACTGTGTGTATGAGTATTTGCTCCTGTATTTTATGAACCATAATAACCTAGTCTCTTTTTTTTTGCAGTTCGAATATGTAATTTAAAAGACGCTTTTTACCATAAGTGTTATTTAAATTTTCGTTTTTAATGATTGATGTTTATTCTTCTTCACTAGAGGAACTTTATGGTTGAACTGCTACAGGAAGCACTTCAGAACACAAGTGTGTGGGCTTTCCTTGATAAGAAGGGAGTGTTGTGGTGCTCCCTCTGCCCCCCCTATTTATTTATTTTTAAAAGTGCCCATAAGGTTGGTTTGTTTTTAACACCAGGGCCAGCAAAAACCTAAGTAGGCCAGGTCACAATCGCTTCCCACTGCGAAGGCCATTCCTAGATGGGGATTCAGAAGACCAAGCCAGATGCAGGGATGGCAACGATGATTTGAAACAGGGATCCGTCATCAGGTTCCCTGAGGGGATCCTGGCAACGGGAAGGATGCCGATGAGGTCATTGGTGGCACCAACACCGCAGGGCCATCTGGATCTATGTTCTGTGGGCCTAGATGCCTCTAAAAAAACCCACCCACTCTTCTCTCCTGAGCTCTTCCACCCAGTGGCACTGGGAAAGTTGCCCCTTCCCAGAGCGATGGGTGTGGCCCACCCCATAAAGAGGAGAGAGATGCCTGCAGTTTTTTGTGCTCCAGCTTTTGACCGGTTTCCCTTATTTCGAAAGTCTTGGTTGGAAGGAAGTCGTTGGGATGCTGCTTCGATGACTCAATAACGGCAGAGCATTTGCTACAGACTCACCATCTGCCAGGGTTCCCTTGTCTTAAAGGAATAGTATTAAAAAGTTCAACCCTGTCCATGCGCGCGAGGCCACCATTGTGGGTTTCTCGCAGAAGATCTCCGTGGGTTGAAGGCATTCACTCCCTTGCTGAGTGGCTTCCGGGGCTGGGCAGTGGTAGACATTCCCATGCTGTTTATGAGCCATCGAAATGTTGAAAGAGGTGAACCCATTTACTTTAATCCCATAGGTAGTTGTGGGTTTGTTTGGTTTTTTTGCAGGGTGTATGTGTGTGTGTGGGAGGGGGACTTTCTTTGTACTTTTTATATGCCTTTTTAAAAAAACCTGAGACAGGCAAACAAAATCTTAAACTAACAAATACCTCTTTCTTTGTACTTTTTATATGCCTTTTAAAAAAAACCTGAGACAGACAAACAAAATCTTAAACTAACAAATACCTTTTATGGAGAGAAAAAGGAAACCGAACCACCAGTTGAAAGAAGCAATAAGGACCCTAAAGGATCATGTCATATTTTAAAAATATTTTAAGGTATTCTGAAAGGGGCCAGCAGTGCCATTCAGCTTCATGCGATAGATTGTTAGCCCATAGGGGGAGGAATGGGCTTTAGAGCCATTAAATTCCAGTGGCCACCCAGAGAAGACCTTTGGTCTAGATGGGCAGGGTAGAAATCCAATTAAATAAATAAATAAGTTGCATTTCCCATTGTCCACTGGCCTGTGCATTATGGGACCGTTCTGGTATGACCTTTGTAAAGGTTCCCCTTGACAATTTGTCCAGTCATGTCTGACTCTAGGCGGCGGTGATCATCTCTGTTTCCAACCCATAGAGCCAGCGTTTGTCTGCAGACAATCCTCCCTGGTCACGTGGCCAGCGCGACTA